TTCGTGTTTGTTTTGCTCATTCTGTCCAATTCTTTTTTTCATTTCTTATCTGAAATCCAATATTTTCTAAATTACTAGCAGCTGAGTGAATAAAAAATAAATAAAAATTAATGTTGCAGCTATAATGTGTTTTGGTGATTCAGCTGTCTGCATTTTTCTATTTTTTTTTTTCTTTTTTTAATATGAGTGGGTGAGCAGATGACATTTGGATGACTGCCACACAGTCAGAAGACACTGCTTCTGTCAGTATTAATGGGGTAGATTTATTTTTTTTTTTAACACTCTAGGAATTTTGAAGTGTTTTACTGAAGTCTCAGGGCCAAACTGGTCGAAACCAGTTTGGCCCGATTGTCAACAAGATTTTAAAGGATATATAAATCCGAGGTATGACTCTAATTGTAAGATTGTTGCCATTTTCTGTGAAGCAAAAAAATATATATATATATAAAAGTTAATTAGCAAACCAAATAGGCTGTAAAAAAATAATTTACCTCTTTATTTTCTAAATATTACAATCCACTGTGAAGAAATATTAGAACGTAAACCATACTGTGAATAAAAGTTGAAAATGACAAGACTCAAGCTACAAGTTCCAAATAGTTTTTTTGTTTTCTCTCTATAAATAGTTTTAAACCAGGGGTGTCCAAACTTTTTGCAAAGGGGGCCAGATTTGGTGTCTTAAAAATGTAGGGGGGCCGACCTTGGCGGACGTTCTTTACATAGAACAGCAATATATTTAAACACATTTCAGCAAGCCATTCTGTGTTTTACATTTGCTTTTTTATTTTAATTTCAGCGATCTTAAGCATGTCTTTTGGTTCATTTGAAACATGCATATCATATGCAATTGAATATTCGCTTAACTTCACTTTTCACTTTTTTCTAACGGTTAAACAGAAGTAATTGTACTCTTGAGTGCAAATTACATTTGAAACATAAAAAAAATATCTCACCATGGCAGTTCAATATTTACAGAATTTTTAAATAAAACAACAGAAAAATGAGCAAGTAATAGTCATATCAACAAGTGCAGGGTTCATTTGAAAGATTACATATTAGTAAATGTTGATTAGATTTTTAAAAGTGTATTATTCTGGAGTGAAAACTGAAAACTTGTCTGAATTTATGACTTATTTTGAAATTAAAAAACAAAATTTATTCAGAGACTTATTGTAAATGACAAATGACTTGTCTGCATTAATGTGATACTGAGATCTGGACTGCAGCACATAGGTCAGGTCTGGCTGAGATGTCTCGTAAGTGAGAGTCCGTTATTTAAGTTCACAACCGAGAATGTCTTCTCACACAAATACGTCGACTAGGGTTGCAACCCGTCCCGTAAAATACAGAACCGTCCCGTATTTAACTGTTAAATGTACAGTACCGTATTGAACCGAAATGGGACGCCATTTGTTCCGTATTCTACAAATGTGTACGTGTAATAACAAAGAAGTGGTCCCCGAGTACTTTATATAGTAGGCTGCCCCAGTCATTGTTTCACTCACGGTGTTGCGATATTGCGTCCAACTGCCGCAGTCCCCCCTCCATCTCCCGGCTTTAAATATATATAGGGACTGGTCCCTTGGTAACCCTAGTCGAAGCGCAGCGCGCACACCCCCCCTATGAGACTAGGACGACGAGTCCCTTATTTTGATTTCTGACAGGTGGCAACCCTAACGTTGATCCAAACAAGCTTAGCATTTTCTTACCAAATGCTCGAATCTCTCGAAGCCTGGCCTTATCCAGCTGTTGTAAAAGTTCGCGAGAGAAGGCTGCTGGTGCCGACCGCGGCTCTCTGCGTCACACTGCAGCTCAGTGAGCTCCAGCTGCAAATGGTCAGAGTCGCACGGGCTGCTGCCCTCTAGTGGGTAAACGAGGAACAGCGTTTAGTGTGTAAGCTATGCCATATGCAGGTAACAGTACTGCTGCCCAATGTATTAATTCTATGTGCGGGCCAAACGTTATTGATTTTATGACAGAGGCTGCGGGCCGGATGAAATTTGACCACGGGCCAGACTTTGGACATGCCTGTTTTAAACTATTTTAACCACTTAACTGCCACCCTTAAAAAGCTTCTATATTAGTCAACGGGTTAGGAGGTTTTTAGTGGTGAAATTCAACTGCAGGGTAATAAAAGATTAGAGGAAACAAAAATTCTCCTCCTGAAAATCTAAAAGCACCAGATTGATATTCGAGATTTCCATTTTTATTCAAATTATCCTTTCATCTGCACAGTGTCATTGTGTAACAGCAACAAGGTTTTGTTCTTTTAAAGTCACTACAGTGGATCATTGAAAAGCAAAAGAAAAAAAAATACAATTCAACCTCTGTGAGAAACTGGAAAAATCCAAATATTCAAATATTTTAGAAAAAAAATCAGCAGACACATTTTTCATAAATTTTCTCAATTTCTAAAGAGAAATCCATGAGTTTCACCACAAATAGGCAGAACTGTTGATAATATACTAATACAGCACGCATAAGATCACATTTAAAAATGAAACTAAATTAAAGCCTTTACATTGAGTAGCTTCTACTAGGACTACATTCAAAAATAATTACTGTTCAACAAAATCAATGACTAATTTTCTGAAAAATAATTCTGGCTAAAGTATTTTCTGTTAGGAACCGCAAATAAATAATTATAACTCTGTGTAACTGACTTGTTTCCCTGGACCTTTAAGGGAAGAGATTACTAATGTCAGAGAGGATAGGAGCTTCTTAAAGAGACAGAGGCTAATTTCAATGAATCACAATGATGAAAGATCAAATTACTTTTAAGTCATTTTTTTACATACACAGCACTTTTATAACAACTGAAAGTAACAGTTACTTGGAAAATACACAATGCCCGCCCTTTATTATCAAACAATATCTCTCATACCAAGCTTCAAGACGGGAGAGAGAACAAATCGTGGATTTCTGGTAAAGCAGGAATGAAAGATATGATACTGACAGACTGGAAAACAGGAATTAAAGTGATGCAGCTAGAAAAAGGACAAAATGACAACACTGCAAGAAAATATGAGCAGATTGGGAGGAGGGAGAGAAAAGAAGAAAAAAAAAAGACATTAAGTCGGCGGAGGACTGCGAAGGTGAACAAAGAGATGAGCAACTATTTGGGTAAACTTGCATAAAACAAATGACTCAATGGTTTCAGAAGAAGGATATAAAGCTGCCAACGCACATCTAATGCTCACCAAGAGCTACGCATGGTGGGAAGGCGAGATAAAAGGAACAACAAAAAAAATGGAGATTTTATTCTCAGCTTGTTTGGTAATATGGAAGGAGTTTCTGACATAATATAACAGATTACATGGGTTACTTTTTCTTCATAACTTGCACATCTCTCCTGTTTCTTGAGGTTTTTTTCCCCTTTCTCCTCAGAAAACGTGGGGGTGGAGCTTGTGCCCGGATAGTGAAGGTCGTTAGCCCTTCGTTAGCCCTCAACACAGCTGTCCAGAGTTTAGATTTGCAACCCTGGGACCTTTGCTGCATCTCTTATCCTTTCTCTCGCTCTCTTGTCTGAAACGCGGTGACTAAAGGCCACTAGTACCAAAGAAATCTCAAAAAGGTGAAGGCACTTCAGCAAAGAAAAACAAATTACCGCAAAAATTCCTCTATTCCAATTCCCTGCGCTATGTAGAGAACACTTCACATTTACCAAATAATGGCACTATCCAAAATTACAAACTGTGATTCACTGTTGATTACATTCTGCAGTGTGCAGTTAAGAATAAGATTTAAAAAGATTGTTTTGACATGAAGGTAAGCTCCTTGGTTTAAAACGGCCATCCAAAAATTGATGTACCAATGACATGGTGAGCACATTCTGCTTGGTTTTAAATTCTCTCTCAAGTTTAGAGAGAGCTTCTCTTCCTGAAAACAAAAACAAACTAGGTTTCGTCTGCTCAACTGGTTTGACACATTGCTGACGTTTCTGTCTGAAAACAGGAATTGTAATATTACTACATGCCCTGCATTGCGTGAGTGATGGATATGTAAAAAGGATTCCATAAAAACAGCACAAAAATAACAGTGAAAGTGGCAACAAATAGACCAGTTTTTCTCAATTATTAACGCAATTACCAACATTTAATCAAGACTGCTCAGTCTGTATGACTCTCAAAAGAGAAAACGTGGAAATGATTCACTGGGATGTGCATTTTCAGACTTGGTAAAAGCACACACAGGGTCATTGCGACCCCGTCAGTCCGCGCATCCAGAGTAAAAGACTCATGGGTTCTAATTGACCTGGTCTCTTAATGCTGGAGGAGAGTTGAAAATACAAGAAGAGTTGTAATTTCATAAAACTCCACAGCCAAATGAGAAATGCTGAACATCTTATGAAGTTATAATTGGTATCAGTTTTACAAATAAGCATATGCTTAACCTTTTAACAAATCAGAATGAAGTTATTATCAGACACAGGACTTTGAAACAACTGTTTAAACCACTGTCCATTTGAAAGACAGAACCAGCGACTTGCTGAGCTGGTCACATCATATATTTATAACTCTATCAAAGCTTCTTCTTTTTTTTTATTAAAGTGACTATTTTTCTCATAATTTTACAATTTTCTACCATCAGAAATGTCTTTATTCTGCCAATTTTATCCTATTCTGGTAATATGACTTTGTTCACGTAAATATTATGACTTTAGTCTTGTTTTTGTTTTGTTTTTTCAATATGATTCTCTTTATCTTGCCCTAAAACTCCGTCATACTCGTTTTACTAACATAAAGTTATTAAAAAAAAAAAAGCTGAAAGCTACAGCTTCTCTCTTCCGGTCGTTGATCATGACCTTCGAAGGACCCCAAGATGCAAAACCTGACTTTGGACACAGCTGTTCTTCGTTGGACTCCCCCTAGTGGTCTGGATCACTTCTGTTTTCAGCATTCTTTGTTTGCATCTCTTTTTGTTGCATGTGTTTTTCTCGTGTTTGTACCTGTCGGCCACCGTAAAATTAAAAAAACAAAAAACAAACTCGTTTTACTAACCTCTGCCGACGATACGTTTCAAAACACGCGCGCTTGAATCCTCCATTGTCAGCTCCGTTTACACCAGCATGCCGGCTGCTTCTTCTACTGGATTAAACAGGCAGCCTGTTGATTAATTTGAACACTGCTGCCCCCTAGTGACCTGAAGCTTGTTTATCAGTCAAGTGCCGTTCTAGACAGAAAGGGCTGGATACACGTTCAGAGAAAACTCAAATTCAGGCTTAGCTGCTTTATCTCGAAATTTCCCGGATCAACTCAAGTTCTTATGTTTTTACTTTTCTGTTTTTGGTTGTTTATTGTAAAAACACTGAACTGGAATCATGACTAGAAATCTTCAGTTGCCGAAATGGGTAATATTCACTGCAGTTTTAAAATGACCACTGGGTGGATTTACATTTGCTTACTTTTGTGGGCATCCAGGTTACTGTTTGTGAATGTTTAGCAAAAAAAAAAAAAAAAAACACTTCAGAAACTCGCTTCAGCTGGAGGGAGGCGAATACATGTGGCCTTTTGTTTTCTCTATGCCTGCCACCACTCAGCTTAGAAAAAGATGAAACTCAGAACATGGTAGAAGAAGAATGAGGCCAAATGGTTTATCAATATCAACAGTGGGAGAGCAAACTACAACGAATTGAACCGAATGGCCATCAAGGCTCTGTCTGTCTTTACACAGCATTTGCTTTGCTCCCTCATTAATAAGGCTAATATAAATAAATGAGTTTTAGTGTATCTTGTTTTTTGTTGTTTTCGTCTCATAAATCACCATGGTGCAGTTCTCATTCTAATTAGGGTTGTCTGGGTTGGGAGTTGGCACGGGAACCCCACGCAACAGGCCAAAGTGTCAGTGGGGGACGGAAAATGGTGGGCGATCACGAAACAAACACTGTAGAGAAAGAAAGAAAAAAAGCACAACGGCAAACAAGTCTAAACAGAGTCAAAAAGCATATGGCGCTTGCTGTGCGATGCAGGTGGGACACATGACCGCAACCGCAAACAAAAACAAACAAGTTTTATGACCTCATCTGTTATTGTCAGACAATACGATAAGCAGGAAAAGGTCAATCTTGTATCTTATCACTTTCATCCTTTTTATCCCTATAGATTCACAACGCTTTATTTGCATGAGCGTTATTTATTTATTTTTTCTTTCTTTTTTTAAAGGCTGCTTGTTTGCAGACTGTGCAAAGCCCATTTTCTACCCGTTTAATCTCTTATCTAGCTGGCCTGTATTTAATGGGGTTGATCAACCAATTGGCATGCTTCCTTGGGAGCCGGTCTTTCTAACTGGTGACATGTGGAAAATGAGCTCCCACCAATTAGGTCAAAATCAGTCAACATGACGGGCTGTAAACAGGGCGGAGAGAGGAATATCTAAATAAGCATTTCAAAGGTGCAACTGTGCCTTTGACATGTATTAATTTGACTTAGTCACTGAGATGATACAGGGTGACTTTATTATACTGTCAGCTGCAGTTTCACTTTCCATTGAAATTATGCAGAAAGTTGTTTTAGTTGGTTGCTGTGACAACTCACATGGTTGCCAGGATAAAAGACAAAACAAAACATAGTCCTGGTATTGTAATTCCTTCATGCTGTTTGTATTAAATACTTCACTGAAGGAAGTGACAACTTTTAAAAACCCGTTTCTCCCTGGAGATACCTGTGATAATAGGTGGCTAGATTCCGGCCAAATATTTTTTTTAACACAACTTTGAAAATGATCATAAAATAACGACACCCTGCTGTAGTTTATTGCCACCTGCCAGACTATGTGTTTAGCTCTACAGATCTGAAAAACAAAACAACTTTTCATTGGTTTTTCGATGCCAGGTATTACAAAAAAAACGTAGTATCCGTCATACGTTTTTTTGTTTTGTTTGTTTTTTTGTAATTTTACACCAGTGGAAGCAGATTCACGTGAAATCACTGAGGTGTTTTTCTTGATAAAAAATATTGATATCCTATGCTTCTACATTTTTGGAACCATAAAGAGACACTCCATTGTAAAACCGATGTATTCTTTATTTTTAAAAAATTAATAGAACAGATCACTTAGTTGAAGGTGCTGTCAGGAAGCTATCATAAAAGAAGTATTCAAAAAGTAATCAGCCTACTGGATATTTTTACCCCCATTTTTGCTTCAACAAATCAATGATAATCAATAAATTGACAAATGAATCCAAAACAAAACTCCTTAATGTCAAAGTGAAAACTGACATTTACAAAATAACAGGGATAAAAAAGTTAAAGATAAAGTAAGTGACTTCATAAATATTAACATCTTTTAAAGTGACTGAACTAATTCAACAGAGGCCCAGTCAACCGGTGCTAGTCGTTTCACTATGAGGGGAGTGCGGATCATGTGAGTGCAGTGAAGTGTCTCAAGTGACTCTTGTACAAAAACGTGTGTCATTAATTTGTTAATTAATTATTACTCCTGCCTACAATTACAGCGTAAAAACAAAATAACTCTCCATTCAAATTAGAGAAGATATTATCGAAAAGTATAGGCCAGGGGATGGATACAGGAAAAAAAATTATATGGTACTGAACACCCCCAAATTTCAACAAATTTTGTTGATGGTGATTTTTTTGTAAAAGCAATACAAAGGTTAAATTATTCAATAGCATGAAAACTACACTGCTCAAAAAAATAAAGGGAACATGCAAATAACACATCCTAGATCTGAATGAATGAAATATTCTCATTGAATACTTTGTTCTGTACAAAGTTGAATGTGCTGACAACAAAATCACACAAAAATCATCAATGGAAATCAAATTTATTAACCAATGGAGGCCTGGATTTGGAGCCACACACAAAATTAAAGTGAAATGTTCCCTTTATTTTTTTAGCAGTATATTTACAGTCACCTTATATCAATCCAAAAGCTTATCTGAAGATGTTAAATGTTTTTATACATCTCCTGTTCAGACTCTGATTTAGAAAAAATGTTATTGGCATTCACCTGACTTGCATTTCTGTGACTTTGTTTTCTTCAGGTTTTTATCAGCTTAAGGTAACTGATGTAATATGAACGCATAACCAATAATTGGAAAATTCACAGAACCTAATGTCAGCTAAAAAGGCACAGAGGATTTGAACCCAGATGGGCCTGACAGTGAGTCAGGTACTCTATGCTACATTGTACTGTGCAGATGACGCTCCCTAAAAGTAACTGGACCTTCAACACATGGCTGAACCACTCATTCCTGTTTTTGTAGCAGAACTGGCCTTAAACAATGTGGTGACCACAATGGGGACAGTCACCTGCGGACACAGGTGTTATAAATATTAAATGGCAGACATTTCCGCACAACGTTCTGCATCAACGTAATCCAGAATCCTGACTGAACATTGTTGTTTGTTCGACAATACAATCCCAACAATGAGTTGGAAAAACTTTAGACGTTGAAAAGGGAAATATATTTTAACTCTTTATATAAAGATTCTGTTCCTTAAAGCAAAAATACGGTGAAAAATTAACTGAAAAAAAAAAACATCTGATAGATATTCATCACTGGTCTTCATCTAGATATAAAACGCCGTGGTAAAAGTTAATAATAAAAGCAAATTTTTATGTGAGTTTGATTATTAAAACCTGTGCATTAACAATGCATTTTTCACCATTCATCCTCCCTCGTACATTGACACGGCATCGCATATCGGAGTGCGTCGTTTCCTTGTATTGCGTCACCCTGATCACAACGCTGATATTTTGCTCTGCAGAATTTGCAGTTCTTTACCACAAGCTAATTAAACACCATGGTCACCCACCAAGCATGAAAACACACACTGGAGTTATTACAGTCTTCACCATTTATTCCTAATACGCATTCCAAACTATCGGCCTTCAGACTTTATGCCATGATGAGCCATAAAGTTTTAGACCCATCTCTCGTACTTTTCTTGCACCGTCATCTAATGTGTGATATTTTTGTCCTGTCCTTGCACATGGCAGAAGCTGCGTCCTTTTCTGTCTCCACATAAATCAAAAGTGACAAAGATAAAAACACTTAAATGCAGTCACACCTGGCCTACTTGGAGAGAGGAGGGTGTGTGTGTCAGGGGAGAGTCTAAACAGACTGACTAGCTCATTTATTTTGTGTGTGTCTGTTTCATTATTTCACCACATAACTCTGCATAACTTGTGCTTGTTATAGTTTACTGTAAAAGGGAGTAATGGCTAAATATAAATGTATGTTTTTGAGAACTTTTGTGTGTTCCATGCAGCAACACAAAAACCTAATTCAGTTATTTGTCATTGAAGCGACTCCGTTAAGTTCAATCAACGATTCTCTATTTTTTCAGTGTAATATTGATGAGATTTGCATGTCTGTACGAAAAGCAGGACATGGACAGGCTCTAATGTCGTAAGCTTGTACTTTAAAAATGTGAACACAAACATGTCAGCATGAGTTCTAGAGCCATGCGCTTAAAAAAAAAAAAAAAACGAATGCTGACTCCTGAACATGAAGCAGCAAGAAACACTTTAAATTGGGTTTCCAAGACACGCTGGAAGCTGTGCTCTTGCTATGTACAGTGTAATGATTCAGAGAAAGCTCTGAGTATACAATGGGTGGGCTGAAAGTGAGAGAAATGTGGATATATGGAAAAAACAGAAACTATATTTTTGAAAAACTGGATTAAAAATTTTAAAGAAGACCCACATTATCCTTTTAAATTGCTCTACTTGTGAAATACTTTATGGCTAACACTGCCTGTCTGAAAGAAAGAGCTACCACCTGAATTTAAATGTGCAAATAAGTATGAGCTGCCTATTGGACAATTACTGCACAGTCTACAGTCTACCGCCTGGTAACAAGTCATTTAACACCAACTGATGCAATTACTAGCTTCTAATTTCTTAAACAACCATGTGGATAGAAATCCTGGTCTTGTAAAAAAACATGTTGGTCTGTTTAAGGAGGGTCTAATCATTGGCATGCATCAAGCTGAGAAAACATCTAAAGAGATTAAAGAAATAAGTGAAACTGGGTTAAGAACTCTCCAGTGCATTGTTAAAAACTGACAGGACTGTGGGGAACCATCGCCTCTGAGGAAGAAATGTGGTTGAAAAAAA